TACTTAATGCCACTACGCTACTTAATGCCTTTCTTAAGAAGTGGTATTATCATGCATTCCTCCAACATGCCAGAATATCTTTATTCTGTCACACATTTTACAGGATTAGCTTAATAGTTGAAACGATCGCTTACACATTGTATTAATAGTAATTACAATTTTAATAATTCAGGCGAGATACCATCCAATTCGATATCCCTCACCGCTGTTAAATAAGAAGAGGACCTAAATCTTATTATATTGATCTACCTGTGATGCCTAGTGCTCTAGTTCTTCTACCTGATAGCTCAGGTAATCAGGATTTAAAGCGAGTAGTTGACACTAAAAACTTCGTATTTTATACTATTATAATCAAAATCTTATTTTAATAACAATTTCTCATAATGAAAAATTTTGAATTTCATGCAGTGAATATAGTAAATGTGAATTATTACCTATCATATGTCCAGATATATTTCAAATATTAGTAAGTATATATAAAAATTTAATGGGTTTTTTTTGTACCTATTGGGTTTTTTAACTGCTAAATCGTTCCATTTGATTTTTATGATACACAATCTCTATATAAATGGCCCCAATATAGGCCCATTTGTGATCACGGCTTTATAAGAGGAAATGATATATTTAAAAAGAGAGCATTGATAATTGAAGAGCAAAAATAGATTTTACTTGCAGACTAAGAGTTAGGTTACGAGAAAATTACAAGTGAACTGTTGAATAGAAGATGTGGGGTTTTTCCTTACTCATATGGCATTCGACATATCTCTAATTATCGTTCTCCCAGTCTATGTGTTATAGTATTTCAACAATCCGTCTAATCAGCAAATAGTTTGCATTGAAAAGAATAGTGAGACAAACACAGCCTAATGAACAGCGCTAATTCGGTCCCATTGCAAATGTATTTGTAATAAAATCAGTACTATAATTTAATTAAAAATCATTGCAGATCTTAATCAACATAAAAGTTATAATGAAAACATCGGTGTCGTTAATTTAAGTGTGAATAAAAGTCGAGAACTATTAATTGGAAGTATTTTTCGATATCTAATACTATATTATGGTTAGGGCATGTCTAAAACATATTGGTACGACCAGTTCATCTCCAAGCCCACTTTACTGGATTTAATTGTTAATCAGTCAAGTTAACTCTGCATATTTTAAAGGCGATTTGTTTAAACAATATATCACCGGTATACTCTAGATCATTTAACTTATAGTTTAACAGGACTTAATAGTCTTATAATTTACAATTCTGACTAGAATGTTTATAACTATAAGCATCTATAAAACAAACTCTAAATTTTTAAAATCAAATAGTTTCAAAAAATCAATTAAAGGTTAAACTCCAAAGATTGCCATTAATAAAGCATACAGTGCTGATTTAGTCACAATAAGACTTTTCCAAGCGGAAGCTATACTAATTCGATATGAAAACCCTGCATAGGGCAAGACTTTTCTTATAGCTGGAAAAAGCGACATATCTATAAAATTGAATTTTTTTTCGGGAATTTTGATAATGATGAATTTTGATAACGATGCTATATTAACTAGGGATTATTTATAATATAAGTCCATCCAGTAATCCAATTATTATAAATTACTTTAATATTACTACATACATATTTAATTTAGTAGTCTCTTCAAATTTTTGTATAATAATATAAATAATGAAAATAAAGGACATTGAAAATTGAAGGACACAGCACTCCATGGTATGTAACTTTAAGTTATTAAGTTTACGTAAATATTTACGTAAATATATTATAAAATAAAAAATATAAAGAAATAATTAGAATAGAAAAATAAGTAAACTAGAAAAGTACTTAAAAATGTTATGGTGTGAACCCAGAGTCATAATCTACGTTTGTATTCAGTATATTAGAAAGTGATGATTTTCATAACTTATTTACTTATTTATATTACCTCAATGTGCAAAAAGTTTCACTTTACGATATACGGTCACCCAACACTTATATCAAAGGACCCAACACAACTTTCAAAGAGATACAGCTTTAAAATCCTTGAGTTCAGTTCATTTTACATTTTTGAGGATTTTGGCCAACTTCAAGACCTCACTTTAAATAGCATTTTAGGCTTTGCTAAATGTTCAAGATGATTTTTAAACCTCTGAGTTTTTATACGGTAATACAAAAGGCCTAAGTGAGTTCATGGTATCGTTGATATAATCTAACCTATTCTAAAAATATTAAGTATATTTTTTGCTTAGTAGCAAAGGATTTCATTATTGAAAAAAATATGAATATATTGTCTTGATGAACCAAAATTTCTTCAAAACAGTGGAATTAAGAAGTAGAGAATCGAATTAATCGTTGTACTAGGCTGGATCGTAATAGCCTTTTCTTCCAATCCCACCAAACACTTTGGGAAAACTTATTTGCCATCAATTCAGGCTTTGAAGTAATTTGTGAAGATACCGGTCTTTTGCTATGGTCGCATGGTTTGTTTTAAAAATGGTTCGATTTCGTCTTATTTCAGCAGCGTTCCATTGATGAAAATTCATTCAATCAAAATTCTTTGCGTCAACCATGTGGTTGAGCATAGCTTGCTCTTTTTAAATGATCCTAATCTGTCATGTCGACAGTCTTGTTGCAGCAGTTGAAAAAATTCCTCGATTTTTTGTGTAATTGACCGAAAAAGTAAGGTGCATCCTTAACATAGAAATTTCCGGAACTGAATTGAGCAAGCCAGATAACCCTTCTCTGCGGATACTGTAGAGAATAGGAGAAGAGTAAGAAACCGCATATCATGTGCTAGGAGAGTGCCCGGCAGTGATGCATAAGCGGAAGAAATACGTAGGGGATATTTCATGGAACATAGGCATTCAAAAGAAAGCAAGATAGGCTCTTTACTGTTGCAGTCGCAGTTATCTCTAGTAAATCATTTAAATGAAATATCTAAAAAAATACGCTATGTGGTACTTTATTACCATAAAAACGTTAAAACTGCTGCAAAAATATACCAAAAAATTTTTGCGGTTCATTTTGAGAATGCTTTAATTGAACGTCTATTGTGTCCCTTAGTCGGATAAGAGTGTTTCTTCAAGTCCGATTTTTTTATTGAAATAAAATGGTGGCACAATAGCTGATATTCAACGCAGAATATCTGAAACAACGGGTGCGTTTGCCGGATTATCATGAGTGTGGTTGAATAGCGAACTTAAAAAAGAAATAAGAGTTAGAATTTTCAATGCTTGCGTATAGTGCGTTTTAATCTATGGCAGCGAAACGTGGCATCTAAAACAAGAAGCAGCTAGAAAACTTCAGGTCTTTGTCAACAGATGTTTGTGTCGCATTGTTGGCATTTGATGGCCGCATTCTATATCCAATGAACAATTATGGCAAATGACACATCAAAAACCGATCGAGAAAGAAATAATGCACAGCAAGGAATTAGAAGCAGAGGTCCGCCTAAAATGACTTGTGATCGTGATATGTATAATTCTTATGTAGGTGGACTAAGTTCTTAATTAATTAATTTTTTTGAACATGTCAATAATAAAAATAATGTGAGACAGTTGCATGTCATGAATGTTATGAATCCGGGACTTTGACTGCAAAGCGAGTTAGTGTCGGGTTTTGTACATATTTTCATTGTTATGGATGAGACTTGAGTTTACCACTCTGATCCTAAATTAAAACAATTGATGGATGTCCGTGTGGCCAAAGTAATGACAAAGACTGAGTTGCTTGAATTTTCTTGATAAAAAATCCCCAACGGACTGTGTGCGAGCCTAAAGAAAGGTTATTGTTGTTTGCAGAATCGATATCGAAACATTTTATATCCAGCGAACCATCAAAAAATATTAGAATTTGTGTTTTGCATACGAAAGAATCATTTAACTACAAGACAACGTCATGAATTAAGGTACAAATTGTTGTAACAAACACGCTATAGGCTTAGTAAAAATAAATTTGTAAGTTTAGTCGCCATAGAAGAATGTCTGAAACAATATTTCTTATTATGAGAGAGCCCATCAGATAATATCACTTTCTTTTTAATAATGTGATGAAGCAAGAGCAAATATATGGTCATGAGAAGCATAGTGTCTTTGGAATAATAGTTTGTAATAAAAACAAATGTATTATAATATAAGATAATTATATTTAATCGAATATAACGCTATTGATTATTTCAGTGGAACGCTATTTTCTCGTTTTTTTATTTTTATCTAGAGAAAGTAATCTACTCTCATATCCTGCTTCCTGGGTACGCTTATTAACAAATCTATTCATCACTAAAGGAGCTAAATTCCCTTTGATTTCTATGCTTCTCTCACCTTTGAAAAATTTCTGAGAAGCAGCTTACAAAACTGTCGGAAAATCATCACAGAGATGGTATTACATAAATCGGTGGATCGTAAGAAAGAATATAACACATGTTTTTTGATTACCATTCGTGAACTTACTAAACAACGTAATAATACTTACTTATTTGAAATATTGTGAAGAATTTTATGAAAACAGAGTTGTTGAGATTAAAATAAATATTTCATATTACAATAAATCATTATAAATCTTAATATGAAAGGATTATCTTCAAGGCTTTTCTAAAGCGAAAGAATTACCAATTTTATTACCAATTAATTTGAAGGACTAATATTCATAAAAATAATGTTACAAATTAGCACATGTAATGCTAAAGTTGTTGGTCAATTACCAACAATAATTGACCGCTACTTAACAATTCTCACGTTTCTGCACCCTACACAAAACCAATAAATCAAACGAGAAGAACCGTGATATTGAAAGTATAATTTGTGCTCACATGTGAGTGCGAAAACATACATGCGAATTTATATTGAACATATTTGACATAGAAAACAGTGTAGCGTTCACTAAATTCCCATATGACAGCACCAAACGAGCGTACCTTTGCTTTAGTGTTGTAATTGTCTAAATTGCTGCAACGGATGAAACTCACATGGACCAAAACTTCTGTCATTCCTTTTGTTCGTTGCATTTCTGTGTGTTCCTTCAAAGAGTGCAGTCAAAATTTAAAGTATTCGAAACGGAAAGCTTAGCTTTCAACTTTGCAGCTATTTTTGCTGAAACATTTACTTCATTTAATTAATTAAAATTAAAAATAATTTGCTTTAAAATGTAAAAGAAAACAAAAATATACTTGAGGCGAAAAACTAACAAATTTCGACACGAAAGTAGCTATTGAAGCAGCGCAAGGATAATAAATTCACAGCAACAAAAAATTAAATAAAACATAACAATTACCGAAAAATAATACAAAAAAAGTTAAAAGAATCCTTAACGCTAAGTGAAGTGGCAACAAAACAAAGAACATGAATAGGGTCCTGGTCCATTGTTTGTTAGCGACGATACTCATTTATAAAGGTACATAAACTCGATTATTGTGTATATTTTTATTGGAAAAGCATATGAAAGGAGACCTTTTATTAAATGTGCCATTTTTTGATAATCCTCCTGTGTCCTTAGCTTTTGTTCGTTGATTTTGAAAAACTAAAAATTCGCCAACATTTTTTTTTTAATTGCAAACAATTTGTTGTGATTCTTAGTATTTTTTATATAAATATTTTTTTTAATAAGTGCTGAAAAAAGAGAATAAAATGTATATACGCTGTTATATAAGCAAACAATTTGTGCGCAGGTCAAAAATTCACTTCATATAATTTTTGACAACAAACCTAACAACAACAATTGCCATTGCTTGCTGTTGCTGTTGCTGTGACCAACAGCAACCAACATCGAAAGCAACCGTAAATAACAAAAACAACAAAATTAGTTAAATGGGTCAATGTTTTTAGATTAAAGGCAGTCAGTAATTCCATCAGTTACCAGCCAGCTTATTGATATCCTTTTATAGACGAATATGTCTATATTTAATCAATTTATTAGTACATGTGTATATAAGACGACAATGAAGCATTTAATACAAACGACTGTAATCTTTATAAAAACTTGAAAATTCAGATAGTTAAGTCAGACATAAATAATATAAAAGATTTTTAATTGTATGTCTTATTTAACATAATTTAAATCTTCAATTGGATTCCTCAAGGAATAAAGTGAAAAGTTTATTTAAAAGTCGACTAGACTATTTTAGAGCCTAGTGCTGCGCTTGAATCTATCTTTTCATTACTGTATGTATTATCAGTACGTGGACTAGAAGTGGACTAGTTTGTATAAAAAACGCAAAAAATCGCATGGAAAGGGATCCATAAAAATCTTTAATTGGCTCTCTCAAACAATAAAGTGAAAAGTCTAATTAAAAATCAATACATCCATCTTAAGTATTATCAGCAACTCGCAACAAATATGCAACATATTATATGAAGACTAGAAGTAAAGTAATTTGCATAAAAAATCGTATGGGAAGGGATCTGTATTTAATATTTACTGAGACACAAAGTCTTAGATTTAAGTCTTTCAAACGATGAAGTGAAAAATCTAATTAAAAATCAATACGACCATTTTAAGGCCTAGAATCAAACAGCTGAGCTTCAGTTTAACTTTTCCTTACTGTATGTAACGTCGGTAGTTTGCAGTATACATACAATATATTACATGAAGATAAATGTATATGTATAATGCAAGAAATTCCATGGAAGTGTCGGAAATGAATTATTTGTGTAAAATGATTCCATTATCGGCAGCTCGCAGCAAATATACAATATATTATAAGAATATAGATGGACTAGTTTGATGTATATGCGTATACGTATAATACAAAAAGTTCCTTGAAAATGTACCTAAAAAGTATACTTTTTTATATATTTTTATAAAAATCGTATAGAAAACGATCCGTTTTTAACATTTACTGTGATAAAAGATATTACATTTAAGTCTTTAATCGGCTCTCTTACACAATAAAGTGAAAAGTTTAATTAAAAATCAATATGTTCATTTTAAAGTCTAGAATTATTAAGCTACGCTTGAGTTCAACTTTTCATTACTGTATATATTTTCTCGGTAGTTCACAGCATACATACAATATACAACGTGATGATACATACACTATTTAAAAGTATATACATAAATGTATATATATAATGAAAGTGTCCATAATTCCATAGAAGTATCTCTATAAAGTTTAAAAATAAATTCTTTATCTAAAATGATTCCATTATCGGTAGCTCACAGTATATATACAATATATTAATTAAGCATAAGTGCACTAGTTTTATATATATGCTTATAAATATAATACAACGAGTTCTCTAGAAATATCTCTGTAAAGTTCGGAAATGATTCCTTGGTCTAAACATTAAAATTATATCTTTCCAACGATTTTTTCCATTCACTGTGATACAAGGTGTCAAAAAAAATACTATTCAGTCAAATAATCTCCAATAATTTAAAAAAAATTGCTTCAATTTCCCAATAGTAATTCATTTATTCGAAAATTATAATAATTAAAAATTTATTTTTTGGAAAATTTATTAATATTTCTGCGTAAGACTTTATTTATCTTAAAATTGGTAAATAAGGCTATTATGTTCATTTCTGTAATATATAATATCTTAACACCTTTTTTGTTTTAACAATAATTATATATGTTTTTGACTTTCTACCTATCTTCAATCCAAAGGCATTAAATTATTTAATAGAATTTATTTATTTTATTGTAATTTTAAACACAACTTTTCAAAATATTTCAACAAAACTTATTTTGGTATTTGCCTTCTGCTCTATTTATCAAGGTAAAGTCCTTTATTAACAACAATAATGTTGGTAATTATTAGGATCGTACGTTTTTGTGGATCTAAGAGCAGTATTTCCAATAAAGTTGGATGGTATTTATTTCAGCTAGTGCTGTCATTACTTTCAAGTGGAGCTACAATAGCTTACACATTGTCAAAGATAATGCAATAATTATTAGGATCGTACGTTTTTGTGGATCTAAGAGCAGTGTTTCCAATAAAGTTAGATGGTATTTATTTCAGCTAGTGCTGTCATTACTTTCGAGCTACCATAGCTTACACATTGTCAAAGATAATGCAATAATGTTTTACTATTATATGTTTATATAGTCAAATAGTTATAAAACCTCTCTAGTCTTGGGGCAACAATTTTCAATAACAATAACGCAGCTAAAAATTTCAAAAAGAATATACTAACTTCCTTTATAGGATTCGAGATTTCTGATTTTAAATGGATTTGAATTCAGAATTTTTAGTGGTTTCTTAATTAAGTATGCTTCTATTACGTACCAGCTTTCGAAAAAGGTAATTGCAGTTTCTGAAATTCCGCCCATCTTATTCGATTGTTCACTGTGATATGAGTGAACAATCGAATAAGGATATGAGCTTTGTACCTCCATATGATTTCATTGAACTGAATGAGATCTAAGATCTTAAATCAAGAGATATTATTAAGATTATATATACTCTTGATGTGTCCTTGTAAAAGTTTTTATCCAGGAATAGTGATATAGATTGCATGAATCACAATTATTCTTTCTAACATAAAAATAAAAGCATAAAACATTATTGTGTAATATCGTTTATGTGTATATTAAATAAAATCCACAATGGTAATGGTCTATTTGCTTTTTTATACTGTGTTAATATCAGTAGTGCTGTTATATTATATATCATAAGCTACTTTAAAGTTTCACTATTTTCTTTAAAAACTTCACTATACTAACAAGACCGCAAATTGTTAATCGTCGTAAAGTTAATTCCACACTGGTGACCTTTTACATAATTCTATCCAATTTAATATTAAACAGTATTAGATCTAAGCTGTCACCTGGTTTAATAACTATCTCTATTATAACTAATAGGATATTTTCTTGTTAGATTTGATGGGTGTGGTATAATTGGCGTTCAGGTCTTTTTTTTGTGTGGTCGGGCGTGTAAACCACTGTCGTATTACTTCGGGGGTTCCTGTTTTTTCTTGGTTGCTTGCTATCTTCTTTGTTTGCTAATAGCCTACGTCGATACTTTCACATCATCTTTGCTTACTCACGCTCTTCTGCTGCGAGAAATATCTTATTGGTTCTTAACATGTGTTTAGCGATTCTCGTTACAACGTTCCAACCATCTTCGCTTTATAGCATTTTATTTAGAATATTTTCTGCAGTGCAGTCTCCGACATTATATTCGAGCGCATTCCTTTTATTGTGCCACTACGATCAGTAGAAAAATGTTTGTTTGGTATCGTCTACATCAGGATCACTGAATCTACAACTGGCAGCTGTTGCCTTCCCCATTTTATGGAGGTATTTATGTAAATGACCATGCCCTGACATTTGGGTTAGGTAATAGTTAATTTCTCCAAATTTTCTGCTCGTCAGCGCATTCTTGTCAAAGCTGGGAGGTTTCTCTTCTACCTTCTCTGGCATGGATGTCTTCATTGTTTTGTATCGCTACCCGTTTAGGTAGGTTTAGGCGTTTAAGGTCTTTGATGAAGGATAAAATGCGGCTATTTAGTACTTTTCATTGTTATTAAGAATTACGATAATTCTCTAATATTTACTTTACTTTATTTAAAATAAGTATTCATAAGTTTCAATATTGGTTTCTAATATCACATTTAGAATTTAATGAAACTTATAGAATCTATGAAATGAATGAAGAATCTAACATATATGTCCTTCTCTGAGTATGATTTATATGTTCACCAAGTTTATGCTCTGATTTATTCTATATTATTCTACATTTGTGATACTTAAAGCACTTATAGCATATTTAAAAAATTTTAATAAACTGAATAAATAAAGTTGCGGCAAATATGTCTTCGTGTTTCAAACCGACCCACATTACAAATTTTTCAATTTAGAAAATTCAAAATAATAAATTTATCTTTACCCAAGAAAAGCTGGCCATTACTGTTAATTGTGTTCCTATTTGTTGAAAGAAGAGTTAGTAAAGAGCTTAAAACTATGACACCATGTACATTGTATTACCAAACTTAGTAAGCAATATATATGGTACATTTCAAAACTTGTGCTATACTTTCTTTACTGAGTGATTTCAATCATCAGTTTTTTCAAAACCCACAAAAAAATGTTTACTACTGATTTTTTTTTTTAGATTTCACTTTTAGTGTTCCAATATGGGATAGGTGTTGTAGCCTTTTGACCACTGCAATCCTCAAAATGCTGACAAAATGTTAGTTTGTGGTAGACAATTTCATGGCATTTATTTTTTGAATATGATTTATCTGTCGGAATATGCCCGCCACGGCTACGAGTTACATGGTCCATTTCATCAGTCCAATTTTATGACTATTTTTTGCAATAAATGTTGGCTTCCAATGCTTCAAAAATTACTGTTTTGTCGGTTGTCGGGATAACCCAATGACTTAACATAGCTTCATAAAAAGTAATCAAGAAGCGTTAAATCGCACGAAGGAGGGGACCGATGATGCCGCCAGCGTGTATACCGCACCAAACAATCAATTTTAATGGATGTAATGGAGATTCGTTAAGGATTAATGCTTGATGATTATGTTCGTTGCATATATAGCAGTTTTACTTATTGACGTAGGCAATTACCCAGATATGAGCTTCATCACTAAACACAATTCTTCGACGAAGTGCTCTATGAATTTCGCGAAGTGCTCTATTTTTTTCAAAGTAAATTACCACAACTAGGAAGTATTGTTCTAGCGCTAAATGATTCATGAATTGCCAAACTTTACTGAACAGAAATATCAACACAGTCAAACCATAAATATTGATATCGATAGTTTTCATGCAGTTTAAAAACACCAGATAGTTGACTAAGGTAGCTTAGTGATAATACTAGTGAATCGAATACATCATTAAGAACCTTCAAATTTATTAACTATAGAGCAATGTGTAGCTGATTATCCACCAAAAATATTTTTTTATTTCATGTGTTATAAAAACCACCAAAGATCTGATCTTTATTATTATAATTTCCATATTAGTGGAATTTAATTTCTTAATTTGATTTTTAAAATCGTACGTGATCCAAGTTTTATTATTTGTTACCATATGCATACTTGAAAAATGGATTAATCGCTAGTGAACCGATTTGGAGATGTTAATTCTGTGCATCAAAATTTTTTTTATTGATTTCATAAGATTATACATATCGATACGAATCGTACAAATATCTTAAAATTATTTTAGGAGTTTCAAGTACTACTAACACAGTTACTTGTTCCTTATTTTCCATCAATACCGACTATTTTCTATAGCCCAAAATCAAAAAATCAAATCAAAAAATATTCCTATATGATTATCAAAAATGTTTCTATAAAATTTCATAATACACCGACCATTAGTCATTCGATTAAGGCAGTCGGATTCAGTGATTTATTGAAGATAACATTAAATCCGTGAAATTAATTTGAATGATCATAAGGTGAAGGTGTAGAAAATACTCGTCTGTGACGGTAAACTACATATTTTGTACAAGCAGATAACAAATTGTTATTCTTTGAGAAAACAATAAGTAAAACAATCATTTTTACTTCGATTTATTTTACTTATTTCTTAGATTATTTTAATAAACAAAAATAAAAATTTTTACTAAATAAGACCGAAATCTTATTTCGAACGATATATATAGTAGTATATAAAAGTTAATAGGTATTGTACCTCACATCATAAATAATTACCGTGGATTTCTATTTTAATTATATCATAATTAAGATTCTATAATCAACCTCTACGAAATTAACAAAAATCTATTAAAAGCTATAATGAACAAATATAATTGTAGTTATTTCAGTGCCAACACAAACAGAAGTTCCTAAGGAAGAAGAAGATGATGACTGGGAAGATGATGATGAATCATCAGAAGCTGACGATGATGGTCGTGTTTATAAAAATCCTCGCAACTCTCCGTCGACTGACTGTCCAAGAGATGAAGAGCAGGCAACATTGCTAGGACAAAAATGTCTTAGAAAGTGTTCCTCTGATGAAGATTGTAAAAGTAAGAAGAAGAAATGCTTATGCGATGGTGTATGCGGTATGTCCTGCATTAAACCAGGTATGTTCAAATTAATATTAAAAAAAAACATAAATATTTAAAAGTTAATCTTATATATAATATATTTATAATATATAAATTATTTATAAATTATTTCGAATTACTTTATTTCTTCATAACAATGAACAGTACATACATTTTCTGTAATATTTGGTATATATTACCAAATATAAAAGCAAATATTATTAAAAAAACATGGTGTTAATTTCCATATAAGCATATTATCAAATTATTTTTTATTGATATAACATTTACATGCATAAATTCAAAATTGTTTTGGGTTGATAAAGAAGTAATTTTTTTACTCACCTATAAATATCAAGTAGTCTTTAATAACAATTCAATATTTAAATGAATGTGTGATCTTAGAATTACCATTATTATCATTATAATTAACAGATCTCTTCTTAGAAATATTTATGATATTTGCTTTCAAAATTCATAATAAATTGTGAATTTAAGTCATTAAGACCCTTCTGCATGTTAAAGACCTCTAAACAGAAACTATCTAAAATATAGAAGATATTTAGAAGATATATTATGCCGTTTTCGGTTGGTTAATCCGGGGTGACTTTTTAATCTCGATTTATATTGAGTGCAGTTTTCATTTTCAATTGATAAATCTCGAGTGAAATGTATAGCGCTCGAAATTAAATTATAACACTCTAGACATTTTGCCAGTGTAGCAAGATTACCCTAAAATTGTAAGCTTTTTATATGACTTGAGAGGTAAAGTGTAGTTTGATTTGTGTTATATATTTATAAAAAATATAAATACCTACTAACATAACTACAAAAATGTTTGATTACACTAAAAATTTTCGATTAGGCAGTAAAATTCCACAGATCGAGAGTAAATCTAGATTGTATGCAGATTTGCCAATCGAAAACGCTGTAAAAATCACTATATATACAGTGCAGACAATTTATTGTTAATTTTTAGATATATAATGAAATCAGAAAGGAGCTACTAAAGTGAAAGTGAAGCATACGTTTATTTATCTAGTGTATAAAAAGTATCCGAAATTTATAAATTGAAGAGTTACGCGCATACCGTATTTCGTAAAAGTACCGTACCGTATTTCTTACCAAAAACCTTCTAACCTTCTAAAACATATTGTTAATTTCTTAGAATAAACACTTTCTTTCTTAATTTAATTTATTTTATATATAATAAAATATAAAATAAAGTATGTATTTTTTAATAGATCGCGAATGCCCTGAATTGGCCCAGCCAACATTGGGTTTGGTTTCTGTTGCTGGTCGACACTTTGGTGCACGCGCTTCTTATTCATGTCCACATGGTTTTCATGTTGTCGGTCTACAAAATCGTATATGTTTGGCAGATGGTAATTGGGCAGGTGCTGAGCCAGCGTGCAAGCAAAATAGTAAGTACACAATTCTGATATTATTTATGTACCATAAAATGTCTTATATTACCTACACAGAATTTCATGCATGTTTTTATTTACAGTTTATTGCTTGAAGCCTCCACTAATTGATCACGCACGTCACTCTGCCCTACCAGAACAGGAGACATTCGATTTGGACTCCACTGTACAATATCACTGTCATACTGGATATGTGACAAATGGCTTTCCACGAGCTAAGTGCTTGGCAATTGATGGTCAAGCGAGTTGGTATGGACCTGATATACAATGTGAACGTAAGTTACCACATATTATAAGCATTACTATTAGGCACACAGTTAAATGACTTTATTTTTTTTTTTTTGTAAAATATAGCTCGATCGTGTGGACTACCACCAGATCCCGCATATGGTTGGCATGCCGGTGAGTGCTACACTTATGGCTGCAAAATCACCTACAATTGTGGTACAGGTTATGAGTTGGTTGGCAAACATGAACGGTATTGTCAGTCCGATGGCTCGTGGGTACCAAAGGAGTTGCCAACGTGTGTCTGTAAGTATTTGTATTGATTTTAACAAATTTACTACTATGTTTGTCTACAGTAAAGTCACGTTAATTCGTATTAAAGAATTCATCGCTACGCACTATTAATTTTACTCATACAAAATACTCATTTACCCCGCTGCCTGTAGTTCCTTTTCCATACATGTAGTATGTACAGACCAAATATGTATGTATTTATGTATGTTTTATTCCTAATTAATTTTTAATTAAAACGTTTTAACAAGGCTCTACTGTATTATTTAATGCATTTATTGCTTTTAAAGGAAATAATTTGATTTATTTTTTTTGTGTATTTTTATATTAAATCACAAGCATTAATCGTTAAAAATGACACCGTAGCAAGTGACACGCTATAAAAATTCATAGATAAATCTAAAAAAATTCGTCGTACACGTCCCAAACGCGTCGTTGTACCCAGTTGAAAGTCCTGAAGCAGGTTCTGACAGTTTTGTTCGCCACTGGAACCACGCACCCTTTTGAAATTATCGTTAAAATTAAAATTAAAATTAAAATTTCAAATTTTAATTAAATTAAATTTAAAGTTTGTTAACATTAAAGAATATAATAATAATTATTTATTATGTTTTACGGTTTAATTATTAAATTATTGCTAAAATTGTTATTAGGCTTTGAAATTTTTTGAATTATAATGTTATCAATAAATAAAGTTACCGCAAATAAACTAAATAAATTGTTGTTTTATTCACAAAATTATAATTCAATAAATGCACTTAATTTAAATTCATTTAATCACGAAATTCATTGAAACTATCATTTTTCTATATAATCTATTTAAAATTATTTTTAAAGCATTTACATTCATCAATTCATTTGCGGTAACTTTTAGTTTATTGATTTCATTGATTGTATTTATGACCGTACTTGATTTCTATCAACTACGATCAACTGTCTCTCATATTCTATAAACTGTCGCCAGCGTTCAAACTTACAAAGTCAATAAAATTATACATTTTCATACGGGTCATATGCCTTTAACCGTTCTGACTCAACCTACATTTCTACTATTTACTACTTTTTTATTTTATCTCATATAATCGTATATTCTTATTGTGCTAGTTCTTTTTCATTGTACTCCACTGTTTCGTTCATACTGTAATGTCGTAATAGTACTGTATTAGATAGATCATAATATAAATAATATATTATTCAATATACAATATCTATATAGGAATAACCATCCATCGCACTTCTCTATTATCTTCATTCAGTTATTTTTCTTTTAATTCTTAAATAAATAATAAAAAATTATAACGTAGTTTAAAAAATAATATGTATTGTTTAATAATCATAACTTTATACATTATATATTATATATCCGTTTTCACACTCCATCCGGACTTCAGTTTATGTAAATTTTATATTATAATATTTATTATTTTATGATTTCTTTCCTACCAATATCTCTCATTCATATTCTACACTTTAAAACGACATCCATTTAATAAAACGACCTGCCTTAAAGCTAGTATAGAAGTCTTTATTGGTAAGACTCAATCCAGTTGCGTGTAAATCTACCACACTACGACGGACGTAAACACATTAACAAGACTTATTTTTAGACTTAACAAAATTTTACCTTGCTCTATGGCAAGTCTGTTTCATCTGCCAACAATTTTGTATCATTGTAACATAGTTAGTTTTTGTCTAATAAGACGTTTAAAATTTTATTCATAGTTCAGCCATAAAGTTTTTTCAGGTAATAAGGTTTGCCTAACAAAACAAAGCACTGATCAAACCGTACTCCTACAAAAACATTTTTAAATTCTTAAAAAGTGATTTAAGCTTGATAACAGATTTTATTACGAGACATTATGGTCTAAAATATCATCTATGTAAACTTCGATTATCTGTTAATTCGAATGTAGATTATGCCTCAAAGATGAGAAAACAACTATACATATTCTTTGTGATTCTCCAACTTTGTGTAATCAATACTGAAATTGATACAATAGGACTCTTCTGGCCGCAGTACCAGCTGTTGGGCGATTTTACGTAAATAATTTTAATAATAATAAAAAGCTTAAGGCCAAGTAGCTATAATTTCTATAAAATTAAGTTAGATGTAATTTATAATTACGTTATAACTTTGTTAATAAATAAATAATAATAAGGTTTGCTCAACCGTACCTATGAATATTAATTATAACCCTACCATAAATTTTTTTTCGGTAGTAAGGTTTGCGTTACCGTAGTACCTAAAGTCTATTAGCGATAGAATTATTTTTAGTTTTCCACAAATATATATTACGTATCCTGAAGCTCGACTATAGAATTATCGCTAGTTTTTCATAAACATATTTTACGTATCCTTGTTAAAGTTTTTATTAACCAGCTTAATATTTAAATTAAATATTTAAATTTTCATAAATGGCTTCTCCAATACATATCTTAGATTACTTAAAGCATTATGAGCTATAATTCTAAATGTAATAAGTATAATATATAACTTTCCGGCAGATCCTACAAAAGATTCTTCTAACAAAATTACAATCCTTCTCAAGATTTAGCGGTTTTTTAGTTACCCTAATGACTATATAAAGTCTAATAACTTATAGATCAGTAACTTATACTTAGACTTATATATATAGAAAGTGTTTAATATAGAAAGAAATTTAATGATATAATTGTTTAATGCTAAAATCAGTATATTGAATTCTTTCTTTATGCATATGTTAAATGATTTTATATCAATATAAAAATTTTAAGCTTAACAATCTCTTGTAAAAATTCTTAAGATCCTTTTAATATCACATAAAATCATTGTCGACATTTCTCTGACAAATTAAGTTTTTATTTCATAAACTAGAAACATTAGAGTTCGATATTCTATACCTCTTTCAGTGTTTTATTTTGTTGAGCAGTAAAACTTTCGATTTTCTTTATTAGGAATATTAAAAATCAGTTTGAGTTCAAAACTGGCATTCGATAAAATAATTAGATTAGATTATACCGGCGATTCCTAAGGGATCCATTTAGGCCTATTGACCATTGTGTTAGTGGTTGGTCATTCGATAAAATAAAATCGGATAAATGCAAAAATATTGTAAAACTTTTATGTTCATTATTCAAGTTATTGGATAGTTTTCTTTACAGCTTCAAGTTTAAACTTTTTGATGGAAGGAAATACCTCCTTATTTACCAATTAATTTGTTTAGGTTATTACACTAATATCCCGATTTGGGTCGCCCTGATTTGCGTTGATTCGTCACCAAAAAAAAAATTAGTTTTGACTTCGAATTACGTCTGTAGTGTTTCTATTTGCTTTGTTTTTTAATACATGCGTTCAGAGAGGACTCCCATTTTATTTCTTGTAAGTCGTATTTTTTAAAATATGTGTTAATACATATAAATCCCTAATAAGTTTTTAGTTAAGAGGTGTCAGTTTATATTTGTGTGGTGACGTGGAAAGGTAAATTTCTGCTTTATAAAGTATAAAAATGAGTCAAAAGCGAAAACAATTTTTCTTAGAAGAAAAGTTAAATATTTTTAAATGTTTTAAACTTGGAAAAAACCTGCTGACATTGGGAGAATTCTTGGTTTAGCACCAACTACTGTAAGAACAATTTGTTATAGTGATGCGGACGAAATAAAAAACTATGGAAAAGAAGTTACAAAAGCTAGAAGTCCATTAATTATGAAAATAGAGGTCCTTCTATCCATGTGGATAGAAAATTAGAATAAGAATAAGACTCTGTCGATATTCAATGAATTAAAAGGTCATTCTCTATCAACGAGTGATCAAAAACCAGAATATTTTTGAAAATTAAATTTGTGAGGAAATATTATTCGATTTGCGTTGTTTCAATTCGCAACTTGTAGGTTCCAAATAACGTCGCAAATCGGGGTATAAGTATAATTGGTTTTATGTCGTAAAACTAAGATTGTTAACAAATCGATTACATTTATTTTTCGCAGAGGCAAGCAGATCGGCCATAGTTTTATCATTGTTAATTGTATGTATCTGATTTAAGTATTAATCAGTATGTATTAATATTAATCTGTACTAAGTATTAATCAAGGTTGGTAGATGAGTATGGAGAGTATACTAAATATTCAATTTGGTGTATGTCCATAAATTGTAGATGTAAATACTCTTCGTTTATATATAGCATAAACAAAAATATTACTTACAGCGAGATTACTATAATGAGAGAGAACTATAAGTATAATAAGTATATTATTCACAATATATTTACCTTCTACAGTTAATGGAAGAATGCAGTTCCAATTCTACCAAAAACACAATATAACATAGAGTAACATAATAATATAGTTAAGGGTAAATTTTTTTTTTAAAAAATACTATTTTGGACAATTCATATTTTATTTACATAGTGGCCAAATTGAACTACAATTTTTCAGAACATTGTTTTTTTTATTTTAAATAAAATTTTATTCCGTCAGTTGAAATAAATCTGTATAAGTGATTCAATTGATCGAAAATTTAGGCGGCTTATTCGTAAAGTTTATATATAGTGACTTTAGATACACAGCTCAAAATGAATTGCCCAATGATATCTCACAGCAATTATTGATTATAACGTGCTTGAGGTGCAAAATTTGTTTTAATACATGTAAATCCCTAATAAGTTTTTAGTTAAGAGGTGTCAGTTTACATTTATGTGGTGAAGTGGAAAGGTAAATTTCTGCTATATAAAGTATAAAAATGAGTCAAAAGCGAAAACAATTTTCCTTAGAAGAAAAGTTAAATATTTTAAAATGTTTTAAACTTGGAAAAAACCTGCTGACATTGGGAGAATTCTTGGTTTAGCACCAACTACTGTAAGAACAATTTGTTATAGTGATGCGGACGAAATAAAAAACTATGGAAAAGAAGTTACAAAAACTAGAAGTCCATTAATTATGAAAATAGATGTCCTTCTGCCCATTTGGATAGAAAATTAGAATAAGAATAAGACTCTGTCGATATTCAATGAATTAAAAGGTCATTCTCTATCAACGAGTGATCAAAAACCAGAATATTTTTGAAAATTAAATTTGTGAGGAAATATTATTCGATTTGCGTTGTTTCAATTCGCAACTTGTTGGTTCCAAATAACGACGCAAATCGGGGTATAAGTATAATTGGTTTTATGTCGTAAAACTAAGATTGTTAACAAATCGATTACATTTATTTTTCGCAGAGGCAAGCAGATCGGCCATAGCTTTATCATTGTTAATTGTTTGTATCTGATCAAAATATTAATCAGTATGTATTAATATTAATCTGTACTAAGTATTAATCAAGGTTGGTAGTTGACTATGGAGAGTATACTAAATATTGAATTTGGTGTATGTCCATAAACTGTAGATGTAAATACTCTTAGTTTAGATATAGCATAAACAAAAATATTACTTACAGCGATATTACTATAATGAGAGAGAACTATAAGTATAATAAGTATATTATTATATATACATATATGTATATTACATATTTACCTTCTACAGTTAATCATCATATGGAAGAATGCAGTTCCAATTCTACCAAAAACACAATATAACATAGAGTAACATAATAATATAGTTAAGGGTAAATTTTTTTTTAAAAAATACTATTTTGGACAATTCATATTTTATTTATATAGTGGCCAAATTGAACTACAATTTTTCAGAACACTGTTTTTTTAATTTTAAATAAAATTTTATTCCGTCAGTTGAAATAAATCTGTATAAGTGATTCAATTGATCGAAAATTTAGGCGGCTTATTCGTAAAGTTTATATATAGTGACTTTAGATACACAGCTCAAAATGAATTGCCCAATGATATCTCACAGCAATTATTGATTATAACGTGCTTGAGGTGCAAAATTTGGATAAAACCTTTATTATCTCTCTCTCTCTCTCTCTCATCAAAATGATCCCAGCATATATTCAGTTCTCTCATTTCGTCACAAATTCACTACAGATATAGATGAACCGTTTATCCAAGCTAACATTTTAATTCTATTCTCACATTTTTACCCTAACGCAAAGTTAAGTTATTTTTCATTCCAATTATTCTTACATTTCATCTGCAATATTTAAAAGTATAGTTGGTATTTGTATATGGTCCGAAAAGGTTTGTCAAACTTATCGGAAATATTCATGATTGCCAAAATCGTACTCTATAATCATTTATTAACGATAGTATTCCTGACTGCGTCATATCTTTAAAACCTTTATCAACTGCTTTACACTTTTTACATTATTTCTTGTATCTTCTATCTGGAACTACACTTAATTCCGACACGCTAGTTACTCATATTTACACCACAGCATCTTTTAGAGAATTAATTTCTATTAAGTCAGCGAAATGTGTAAATATATCTCAAAAAGTCGTATATGAAAACGTCGATGTGTATTGAAATTTAGAATAACAAAATCAGATAGAACCTTCCGTTATACCCTATACTATATTACAATCGTGCATTAGAATCATCTGAACATCAATGAATTTTTTATTAAAAACTAATTAATAATACCTCTGTAACTCTAATTTGATACCATGTCACATGAGCGACATGAAATTAACGACGGACCTTACAGTCTACCCAAAAAGCATGGCCAATTCCTTTATAGGCTTTGAACGATTCTCCAAAATAAACAATAGTTTGGAAAGTTTATTAATTCGAAGATGGGAAAAAAACTTAGGAGCCTTACTGACTTTTGGAAATATAAAGTAGATATTCGAGATGTAAATAAACTAATCAAACTTAGACAAATTAAGGTGGAAACTGTTTTAAAGCTTCATTGATATGTCACTGTAAACTTTCTATAAGTACCATTTGAAAATAATAAGTTTAATTAATAATGTTTCTTGTAGGCTATATTCTGATGATCAGGAAACAGCAGATCGCATATAATGCATATATCTTGCTGTAGGTAAACGGAGAAAAATTATTATCTGCTGTCTGAGATATAAAATCCCGATGACTTAGCTTAAACTAAATGCTCAGCAGAAATTAGAATCTTCACACATATCTTATGACACTTATAGTTAAAATAATAATTTATTTCTCCATGCGTCTAATTAAAACAACCTAAAGTTTAAAGTAACTCTTATAAGAAATTATCAAAAACATGTACACACAAAAGAAAATGAATTTTTTGACAATTATTTATATTAAAATTGGAGGCGATATTTAATACCCAGAGCTATACCAGTTAATTCTCTTTAGATCAGTTATCTAACAAGACTCATTATTCATAAATCGACATGCTTAGATTATGTCAATTTACACTTATAGCAAAATTAGGAAACATATGTATAATCTTATATTGTTTACATATCTTAAATAAATTATAAGAAAATCACTAGCTGGGATAAAGGGCACTAATTCTCCCTTAAACACTCGTACATAGTGTCACAATGATCATAGCATAGCACTGTTTATACATCATTTTATCGTTGTTTGTATGTGTGTGTGTTTCCTTTTGTTTTTTTACATTCAAGTGGTTACATCTGTAGTATGTCCAACTCCGGAAAATCCCAAAAATGGTAAAGCGACATACACTACGCTGGCTTATAATTCAGTCGTTAGTTATGAATGTCGCTACGGTTATACACTGGTAGGTGAAAGTTCTAGTAGGTGTGGTGCCGATCGTCGCTGGAGTGGTACACTACCAATATGTAAAGGTAGCACAACTTATATAAAACGTTTAATAGCTTGTGCTATATTAACCTAAATTTTCTTTCATCAACATCTATATTATAGAAATTAATTGTGGACACCCTGGTGTACTATTTAATGGGTGGATTGAAAATATCGAAGCGGGTACTGGTCTTGGTGCAAGTATTATATTTCGTTGTCAGCCAGAAATGTTAATACAAGGTCATTCTTCAAGTGTTTGTCAAATTGATGGACGTTGGCGAAATGCATTACCTGAATGTCTGGCACCATGTGTGGTACCAACAATTAGTCAGGGTTATGTTATACCTATTGAAATAGTAACAGATGAAAATGGTACAGTAATTATAACACCAACATCTACACAAACGCCTAACACATCATCAGGTGTAGATAAAGTAAAGCATGGCACTGCCTTAGAAGTAAAATGTGAAGAAAATTATGAATTTCCGGTTTCATTATTAAGTCCGCCAACTTGTAATAATGGTACATGGAGTATAATACCACGCTGTGTACCAGCACGTTGTAAAAGTATGCCAAAACCGCCAAAACATGGCATGGTTTTGGCACCCAAAACAGAACATGGCATGAAAGCAAGATTTAAATGTAAGGATGGCTTTAAGCTTATAAGTCCCGAAGGAAGAGACATTACTGATCCGAATGAATATGTATTAACTTGTTCATTTGGCAATTGGACGGGAGAAACACCACAATGTCAAGAAGTTTTTTGCTCTTTTCCTGGGTACATACCACATGGTAAAGTGTTACTGGTTGGCAACATGGGTCTCTACGATTACAGACCCTATGTAAAGAAGGTAGTAGCTATTTGAAATACTTTTTAATTTTATTATTATGAAATATAACTTTTTTGTTTGTTTTTTACATAGATTGTTAATAATAAACAAATTATGTACGATTGTGATAAAGGTTATGTGTTGGAAGTTGGACCACCAGGCGCAACGTGTGTTGGTGGTAAGTGGAGGCCATTGGAACTACCACAGTGTCTTTTAGGGCAACATCCGCGTTTGAGATGGAACCGTAAGAGACGTTCAATTCAAATGAGGTACCTGCGCTCTCTGTATTTGTTGCGAAATAAACGAATTCTTCAGAGCAAACTAGAAGAATACGCAAAGTATACTGATCCAGCGAGGCAAATTTCACAAATCAAAGCTGATAGTAGTGAGTTTTTAATTTGTATTGCTTTTTTTAATTAATTATAAAAATTACTCGGATTAATTTTAAAACAATAATTTTAAATTAATAAGAACTGAAGAAATTTGAATAAAACATTTGCGATGAAAAAAAATAACAGTATTTTTTCATCGCAACTTAAAAATATATTCCCTATAATTCAAAACGATGCTACCTTATTCTCTTATGTATATTAAAAATATTTATCGGAAAAGTGGTAAAGGATTCATATTATTTAAATAATTTCAAAAAATTTTGAAAATTAGTGAAGAAAAATATTTTTCTATTTTATTTAAAAAAAAATTATAGTTATATATATTATATGATTTATAGTTATACACAGTATAGATTATACCTTATAGAATACTACAATTCATTTCTTAAATATTTTAGCATATATGTATATCTGAAAAGTGATCATGATCAATATTAAAAAAAAAGACCTTTATTATTTTAATTCTAATTTAGAAAAATATTTTCAAGTTATCAAAGTTTATATAAAGCAAGTTCATTTCCTTTAAACAGTTATATTTATTTGATTTAATACTGTCCCTCAATTATCATTTATTATCTAAACTATCAAAAATAATAGTATCTTAAAAATCTGTTCATTTATATATCATCTAATTCTGATATGAAAAGATGTGTTCATGCCATATTTGAGTTGTAAGTTAATAGAACAATATTAATATTTAGCCACCTTCGCTCTACTTCAATATTAGTAGGTTAAGTTATACCGGTGATCCAAGGGAACCACTCAGGCTCATTGGCTATTGCGCTATCGTATAAAATAAAAGTAGTATATTATAATATATACCATAAAAGTTAAATAATAGATTTCTTCCACAATGATTTATGCATCGTTGCTTAAATACCATAATGTCTAAGTTCCTATACTAATATCCTAAAAACCTTCAAAAACAATATGAGGAACAATATATCATTAATATTCTTCTGCAGTACCAATATGTATTGATCTATCATTTCTTAAAAGAAAATTTATTTTCACTTTTAGATCCTATACTTGTACATATAATACTTACCTAAAGTCGCAGAATTCATAAAATTAAAATTCGTTAATAAATTATAAAAAATACTCTGGATTTCGAATAATAAATAGTATACGATATACATGTATAGTAATTTCGAGAAATAAAGTGGATTGTGGATTATTTAAGAACCATGAAAATACAACATAAAATACCTAAAGTATACCACAATCAAGTTATATGTTTCTGTTACTTAGAACAATTTTTTTTAGGTTTTTAAACATATGTATGTATGTAAATAAAAATATTTGTTCAAAATATATTTAGCGAATTATGAACATTCAACTTATCGTACATTTTAATTATGTTATAGCCACAAAAGATGATTGGAAGCGGAGAGTAAAGAGAAATCCTATCGAATTAAACCAAGCATATTCCAAGTATTATCAAAAAATTAAACAGAAATATCAAAACTATGTTAAAAACCTTTTGGGTTATAATAGATTACTTAACTCGGCAGATTTTCGTAATAAAGCCGACAAAATTGAGATGCCAGATGATCCTTGGTCCAGCTCGTATAACAATCCAGATATATTGACACGTTTTAAGGCACCACATAAAGCACGTATTCTACCTAGTGATTATTCTAGTATCGATTTTGATGAACAACATGGACATAAAACCTTTGCTTATTTACCACAAAAAGGTGTTTTCGGTGGTAGAATTTTAATGCCTGATAAAAGTATGAACTCTCGTTTTAAGGCCGACAAAAAGATAAATGTTACAGATAGTCAAATTTTCGATAATAATTCTTACGATTTCTTTTTAAATAATTTACAAAATTCCAAAAAGCTACCTATCCAAAACAATGATAATGAAACGCTGATCGATCAATTGAAATCCCAAATTGTAAAACGGCGACGTAAACGTAGCAACAATTCCGGCGATGACGATGGCGCAGAGCAAGGAGAATATGAAAAAGGTCGCAAGCGCTTACGTGGTCCATGTGAAGACCTCGATTGGGACTCATTTGCTAATATAAGTACTATTAGACCTGGTAAGGCACCCGGCCGTAATAGTGTGGGAATAATACTCGCTTTAGAATGTAACGCAGGATTTAAACTTAATATTAAGGGAGATAATGCAACTGCAAGATGCATACGTGGCATTTGGAAACCAGAAACTCCAAAATGTCAATCAGGTAAATAATATGCAGTAGAGCCGAGCAAATTTGGTAACATTTCTGTATATAACAATTGCATATGTGTACGTGCTTCTATAAATATAATGGCTATTGCATGCTAATCTTATGTAATTCCTACATCAACCAATTTTTAAACGCTTTCTTATTAAATTTTTTTTTTTTTCATTATCATATATAATTTACACTAAGCTTATTTATTTTCAAAAATATACACATATAAACCGCCGGTTTCTTTAGTGCATATTTATGCCATAATGAATAATTTTTGATATTTACATATGAAGCACCGTGCCTAGTACCTGCCGTCGAACACGGCAAATATTACAAGGTCGAACCGCATACTAAACAGCTAACCGATAAGCCATCTTTGACGCCACTTTCCACCTATGAAGAAATACAATCGAATGAGTTTATAACGCTCGAATGCGAAGACGGCTACAATATACAAGTTAGATATGAAGATCATATCGTGTAAGCTATATTTCGAATTATGATATATTATCTTTTCGAATTCTTACAGGGTTCTGCTCAATTGAGATGTGCACATGGCAGTTGGTCTGTAAATGCATTCTCTGAATGTATATCGATACCCTGTACGTTGCCAACAATAAATGGTGTAATATATGAGGTAAGACAATTTAAGGAAATTCTTATAATATTTTTAGAATAGATCGAAAAAATAACTTCTGAGAATTAAACTGGAACTTTTTAGAAAACTTTAATTTTTAATTTGTTGTAAAATTTTTCAAATTCATTTAGAGTTTTTTATATGGTCGCAGTCAACGCGATCTATGACAATAAGCCAGTAAGCGGTTGAAAAAAAACTCATTGCTGTGAACATTAATATTCTGGTATTTTATGTTGCTGATCTTGATCTGCAAAAACCCATTCCCAAACTCAATAGATGAGCGGGTTTTGCAGTTTGTCAAACATTCTTTCTTAGACCCTATTGATTATTGAAACGTGTACTCTTTTCTAACGAAATGTTTGGTTTTGGATATATACCACCTTCCAAAATTGTTTGAAACATTTCAAAGATGTCGTCATTAACGTTGACACCATAACTCAATGCTTAATTTACAACTTATGAGTCTTGTTTTTATATATTCTTAGCATTATTATTTGGATATGTTCAGCTGAATGATTACTGAATTTCTTTTAATACTATAACAACACTACGCGCATCCGATAGACACTATTCATTTATTTATTATCACCTCATGCCCCCTTCTTCAACTCACTTAGCGATATCTCCAGCATTAGCATTAGCCAAATTATTACCTTTGTTAATGCCTCTGGCTGGTTCTAGGTTGACCCACTATTACGAGGTTTTTTTTTGTGGATTCAAAACGGCTTTCTCTTTTAGCTAATTGGGGAGGATTCGTCCTCCCTCAAACACAACTAACAACTAACTATCACCTCATGTCACTTTCAGATAGTGCCAAATTGTGACTGAACGTCTGAACAGTTTCTAAATGCCATTAACTATCTCAATATAACTACATTGAAAAAAATTATTTTTCTGTGACTCGTTGTCCAACCGCTATCTAGTCCGTCCATTGCTTTTGTAATAAATCTTAATAAATCTACGTTATTAACCAATTTCTGTATTTTAGGGTGGTTATCGCTCTGGCTTGACAATTGGACATGGCAGCTCTGTAAACGTACATTGTGATCATTCAACTAATACAATGCCTATAGAAATGTCATGTAATAAGGGTATTCTAAGTCCACAGACGATCCACTGCGAAACTGGTTCACGTAAATCACGTGAAGAATTTCTATTGGAAAGTGAGTTAGTGTCGAATGAAAAAACTCATAGAGAATCGACTGTATTAACATTGCCAGGCAAAGCAGATTCTTCTGATTTGGATGAGTCAACAAATTCAACAGATGAACTACAAAATGTTACGGAAGAAGCGAAGATGTGTGGTCCTCCGAGTATATCTGATGGTGCTCTTGTATACAGGTAAGTACTGTGTTTAATAAAAACGATTATGCAAAGATATTATGTAATTAAGAATTCTATTTGGACAATAAATTAAAAATTGTCAAGTTCACTTATAATATATACTAATAATTTGACATATATTTTATATTTCATGACGATTACACAAAAAACAATGACGTTCACATATATTCAATTCTCCATCGTTCAGTTTAAAAAAACCGCTTCTACATTTAAAAAGTAGGTTTGATATGTGCTGAGTATTTTCATAATAAAAACTGTGGGTACATGTCATAAGATCCCGATCTAATTTATATAAAGTTATAAAATTATTGTGTAATGATTTAAGATCTATACTACGAAAATTGGTTATTGAAAGATTCAGTTTTAAACAAATATTTTCCTAATCTTTGGCCCAATATATTCCTTTGTCAATTGTAAGTTCAGCTAGTATTCGAGGAAGCCTATATATCATTTAACAAAATATATTTAAACTAAATGAAAGTAGTGATATAAGAATCCAATATCTTCGCAGTCATGAAACATTTTTGATTTTTTCAAAGAAATAGGCTTGTGTTTATTTAATCGAATCGAACTGGTCAGAATCAAGAAACCTGATTTGGTATGCTTTTTGGGTATGATGCGTTTTTTTAGAGTAATAGTTTTGTTAAAAGAAAATTAAGAATACTATAATAAGAGGAAAGAGTAGGTGTATTCTGAAAGGTATGGAAAATCGTATCCATATCCTTTGAAAGCTGAGTTGTGTTGAAATCGCGTGCTAAAGTTAGTACTTTTTTCTTGAATATATATTATTCACTTGTCTTTTTCTGAAATGTTATATTTCAGAAATGGTGATAGCGACGCCGAGGGTATTTATGAAAGTGGTACCGAGATTTATTTCAATTGTATTCCAAGCGCTGCCGGTGAAAGAAATACTTGGAAAATTATATGCGAAAACGGACAATGGATTGGCCGATCTTATAATTGTGGTATGTATTCCTAATTTAGGTAATTGGTCTTTATATACCGATTTTAAATATTCAAAATATGCTGTAATTTTATATTATAAGTCAATTTTCTGCAGCGAATGGTACATGTTTGTTCAAAAACAATGAGCCAAATGTTGTCAGTTTCTACAACGATTTAGAGATTCGCGAAGACAGTGTCGAATTTCCACCCGGTGCAACTATAATATCAAGGTGAAACAACAATCACAATACAATAGTAATATTGATTTTTGAAAATAGAAGTTAACATAAACTTAACTTTTTATACAGATGTACCGATATAGGAAAATTTGCATTAGTCGGTAGTAATGAACGCACATGTATACATTCTGAATGGACAGGCACTAAACCAGCATGTTTTGGCTTAAATCAAGAAAACGATTATGCAAGTAAGTAGAAACAAAGGGATCCAAACAGTTGATATACTGTTAAAAATACTATTTCTGCAAAAAGTTCATTTTCAGCTAGCCAAATTGGAAAATGTATTTTATAAATATATAATAATTAAAAATTATTCCTTCTAATTTGTCACACCAAATTTTAAATAAGTGGGACATGTTGTGATTTATAAGTTATTATCTTCCCCAATAACGGGTTCTGATAAACTTTTTAATATATAATTTTTTTTTATTTTCTCAAATTCTTTTTTGTAGTGGAAAAAGCTCCAACAATTTTATTCCGCCATCAGAATGGTCCCATAGCACAGAGTAATGATGGTAAGCTAATAGTATATCCTGGTACGACATTGCATATGGAATGCCTATGGATGCGTAGATTTGGTAATCCAAAATGGACAGTCAGTCATACCTTCAGGTATTTGTTATAAGAGTTAATACACATACTTATTTAATATTTTAAATTTTTTTAGAAATTATACTGAAGGTTGGGTAACTGAAGCAGATGAAGGTCGTGATTCTACACTGGAATATCGATTAAGCATTACTAGTGCCGTTGATGAAGATTCTGGCACATATTCTTGCCAGACGCCGGCGCGACATGAACATGGTGTCGAAGTTGTAGTACGCGCTATTAGTTGTCCCGAAATTCCAATACGTCGTGGCTTAATTGTAAGCACAAATGATACAAAACTCAGTACACGTGTACTGCTTTCGTGCGCTAATGGTAATTCTTTAATTGGTGCATCAGAACTGTTTTGCTTGCCAAGTGGCAATTGGAGTGCTCCATTGCCAGTTTGTGAAAGTGTCGAATGTGGTGATATACCTTTGCCCAATAATGTCAGTTCGCCACGTGTAGCTGTGTTATCACGTGAAGTTGGTGGTAGAGCAGCATTTTCTTGTGCATCTGGTTACGGGTTGCGTGGCCCAACAGAAGCCATATGCTTGCCATCTGGTGAGTGGGCGACGCCATTTCCCACTTGTGTCGAGGTGCAATGTGAAAATCCTGGTGCACCACAAAACGGATATGCTCAGGGCTCGGCACCATATCGTGCTGGCGATGTAGTACAATTCAATTGCAATCCAGAATATATGATGCAAGGTCAACCAATAATTGCTTGTCAGGATAATGGTCGTTGGTCGGGTATCTTGCCGAAATGTGTTCAGGCCTGTTCGTATCCGGGCACTGCAATCAGTGGTCGTATGTCCTCTGTCAAATTTTATTATGCAATTGGTGAAAGTATAACTTTTACTTGCGATGCCGGTCTCGAGTTACGCGGATCCAAAATGCTTAAATGTATGAAAAATGGAAAATGGTCCAATGCAATACCGACATGTGTTTCTATGGATCAAGTCAATAAACATCTCGCAAATATGGGATAAACAAATTTAAATCAATTAACAAAAACAATAATTAAGTGAATCAATGCGCAATTATAACAAATACAATATCTACGTGGTTAATCGGATCTTATGTCTTCAACATTTTAATGAAAGTTACGAAAATTTAATTTAATTTAAATTATTAAAATGTATTATCTTAGCTCACAGTTAGGATTTTCTAAGATATTATAAATTAAAAAATTCGGTCAATTTAATAACTATTTTTGTAGTATTATTATTAATTAATATAATATAAGGCTGAAATTCACAAGGAAAATTAAAGCAAACCAAACAACTTCCATTTCATTAAGCACTCAAGGCAAAGAATTGAGATACAACTTTCCACCAAATTGGGACTAACAAACTTTACTGAACTTTGGGTACTAAGAGAATTTATTATTTGATTTTTTTTTTTAAATTAGTTTTATTTAGATATTAGATTTTGTTGCCTAAGTTGGCTATATTCATTACAAACTTAAAGATTTGGTTTTTCTTTAAGAAGTCAAATGTCTTACGGATATTCCATCCATCAGGTTGCGGAAACGTGTAAGTTTTTCTTGACAGCTAAGTTAAAAATAGTCAAAATTTAGATACCTATCACAAAATGACAATATAGCATCTCTGATACCAATACAGATAAAATAATCTGAAAACTGCTATCTTTCGTTTTATCTTTGGCAAAAATCTTTGTATCATAAAAATGTAAACTTTACACCCAAGATCTAACTTTACAACGTTATGTTGGATTAGATAATACTGCTGGCAAAGGTTAACATAATTAAATCACATCATTCACTCATATTCGTTGATGAATTTTACCAACTTATCCACTAAGGTGTAGACTTATCATTGGTCGGCTATCTAGAACTGTGTTGCTTAATTATGTATACATATAGTCAAGAGGTTGTTGGTACAGATGTTGATGGTACATACTATCCTCTTTTCCTTTTTCGCAGCTGGTTTAACAAAAGTGGGTAAGTGTTCCATTTATCAGATACAAGTTCCAAAACATAGATTTTGCTTTTACTGCATTGTTACCATGTGTATATATTTTAATGATTATCATATTTAAAAAAAAGAAAAATATAAGAACATAAAAGAATGATTTTATTCTAGTATTTTTAGCGTTGTCAGGAAAACTGAAATATTACGACATCATTCTTAAGCAATGTTAACAGCATTAATTTCTTAAGGAACTAGCTTTGTTTAACCACTGCTAACGATTTTGGTAGTTTAAAAGACAGGACAAGAAACAAATTACAATAAATTAAAAATCAAACTTCAATATTTGTCTACCTAACAAGTTTTTAGACAGAAATGCCCAATATTGAAGCATGTGTAAATGTCTTTATAAAACGATGAAGGAACCCATACTATATGTGAATCAAGCGATATTTAAAGCTGTTCACTCAGTACTGATAATTTAAAAAATAGTCAACGATTACTTACACAATTTCTTAATAATTAAAGAAACTTTATTACTTTAGTATATGGGTTTCTGGTCATTATCCTTTAATAATGCCGTAAATTGATCTTGAGTCTTGATATAAAATTACAAGAACCCATTTTAATAAACCTATCAAAAACTTCGAAGAAAAATAATTTATGCCTGTTAGTAACTTAATAGTGGAGGTTAGCATCGAGTAAAAAAATTTCTTATCTCTGCAAATATAATATTAAATAAACCACTTTTGCTATACCTCCTATTATTGAGAAATAAGTGAAAACTATTACAGCACTAAAACTGACAAGTTTGCATAGAATTTGATAAAACTGCAGCTTTAAAACAGTTTTTGAAATTTTACAGCACTATTTTTATTCAATATTATATAACACAATATAAAGAAAAATAGACTTTGAGTGTGATAATATTATGAATTCTTTAATATATACACATGAATAATATTATATTTGCATATGTCGTTCCATCATTGTTAGAAACACTGCATAGAAATAAAAACTTCTATCTCATTTTACTTGACTAATAAAAAATAACTATAATTTCTGGTATCCATGGTATTTATTTACTCACTGTATTGGCCATTACCACCGTATGTCGATGTTGGCCACCTACAGCATCATCCGTCAGTAACTGCGAATGATGAGTTTCATGTGTTGACGCAAGTTATAAATATCATGGCTGTTACAAGTTACCTAGTACTTAATAATTCCACCCTAAATCGATAAAAAAATTATCCTAACTTCATAATATATAGCAACATTTTTTAAAAACCAACACAAAAATCTATAAATTTATAATATAATATATACCACATAAGGGGAGTTATAATAATAACCAGTCCAATTTTCGTTGTAAGTTTAGTTACACAGCAAGATCAGAAATAAAATTAATCGGTGTCAGTTTTCATTGTATTCCGTCTAAAAAAACAGGGTGGATGATGATGATTTCATCCACCCATCTAAATGTCCTAATTGATAACGAAAGCTGAGTTCGTCATCAATTTAATACGGATACCGCTCTTGCATATCGCGCATAAAGCATTTTACTAAAGACGATGTTGTGTAAAAAATTATAGAAAAATTTAAACTAAATTCTATTTGAAAATTAAAATATTAGAAGGAAAATTTTTGTAAATAAAAACTGTTTTGGACAATCCAACTCATTAAGGAAACAAATGTGTTTATAACACATGATAATAAGAATATCAAGTTTGACTGAAAAAATCAATCACTTTAAAAATGTTTTTATGTTTATAAACAAATCACATTTAAACAGTACGATGTGTAATTTTGTGTTGTGGTAAGTGTGTCTTGTGTAATACATATATTGCTTATAATATTTGTATGAAAACATGTACTCGTAAACACATTATCATAAACCTTGTCGAAGTTATAACAGCTGCTTATCATTTGCAAAACATACAACACTTTTTTTGTCAACCCCACCAAAACATAAACACTAACAAGGGCTGCCATAATCTCGAAATAACTTAGTACTTGTTTTGAATCTTACACAAAAACACTTACACAATTTCATTAATAACTGCGTCATACATTTTTTAAAACACACATAAAAACATTTATAATTCATAAAATATATACATTAAGACTGTTTTGTAACTATTTATATGTAAGTACATATGTAAAAAATGTTATAAATGTTATAAATGGATAGCCCCCAATAATAAGTTTTATGGCAAAAAAAGTTGTTATAAATCGTATGTGATGGTAATAAACAAAACTGATATCAGATGAATCTGAAGTTGTTTTATATATGTACATATATATTAAATAAAATAATTAGTAATAATATAGAAAACTATGTATTAATAATATTATTAAAACATTTAAAAATTAAATGTAAGCAAATAAATATGTTTTTAAATTTTGATTCACTGATTTCAAATCAACTTAATTTATAAGTATTTGTTTAATTAAAACACTAGTACATTAATACTTTAAAATCAGTTTTAAAACTTTTAAATCACATCCAACGAATTGTACAACTCTTTGTTCCTCCTTAAACACTCACCATTATATAAATATATCCAAAAAGTCTTCATATGCTTTTTCGAGATATTTTTTTAAGCTTATAAAATATTTTTAGATATAACTTTCAATATAAAAATAAATAATTAAATTCAACTAATTAAAAGCAGAATCTGAGCTTAGGTAAAGTAAAGAAAGTTGGGCGAAACATAACAAATCCCTTCTCAACAAAATAGTAAACATTTATGTGTCACTTATAAACTTATAATATTAAAAAAGTATGACCAATCAACAATTAAAAAAGTAACGTAATATTTTTCGATGCTTACAGGAAAATACAATAATTTATTAGAAAATAAATCAGTAATTATTTTTACTTTTCAAATTGTTTACCTCGATGCAATTTATTAAATAAGTTTCCGATGTTTTGTAGTTATAATAATTTGGTTTGTTCAACACTTGAAAAAAAGCTTCCTTGATTAACAGTCCCCTCGTGGTAAATTTTTTTGCTTCCACATATTTTTTCAAGTTTACTTAAACTGTTATGTGGATTTATTTCACATTTTTGTTGTCCTTAATTTTGTTATACTTTGTATTAAGCAAAATATAATACAAAATTTAAAATCACAGTTTTGGTTTAGGAATTTATCCTACACACAAAGTAATGCTTCCTGTTTACAAACTTTTGAGTACATCGAAGCTAACTTACTGTTTGTGCTGACTCAAATATGATCACCATATACAAGTTGAACACAACATTCTTTGTTTACTTAATGAACAATATTGCGCTTATGATTTTTCTTATAGACATCAACTTAGATACAACAACACAACCGGACTCTATCCCAAAAATGCCAGTCTCAGCATAATTCGCGTGGTGTGATAGCGTTTGCTGGTCGAACCAACAAACAAAACTGGTCGTTGTACCCGGTGCATAACAAATCTAATTACTTTAATAAATAATAATCAGAATATATGCTATATTTATATATTATGCTATTATATTTATAATGCGATGAACTATTAACTTAAGTAATTGGCATTCTGATTCAATGCAGGATATATATATTCCTATGTCTAAAATAAAATTGGAACTTAAGTTATAAAAACTTCATTGACATATAACTTGTTATAAAAATAAAAAGCAAACAAAAATTCAAAAAATAGTGTGACTTATAAAAAGCTAAAATTACATTTTTAAACAAATAAAAACTTGACGAATAAAATGATTTCTCAACAACTCTTATGTGTCAGTAAAGCCCACATATAGGTGGCGTTGCGTTACAAAAACAATGCCATGTACTCGTATAAACCGTTGTAATATTAAATATTTTAAATATTTTCAACGCAGATAGTGCACTCAAGCTACATACGTTTATCCATTTTTAATTTAGTTTCTTTTGGACACTTAAAAAAAATAAAACACATATATCATATATTTCATAATATTTTATATATATTTCTTATTTAAATTACCACCATTAGTACAAATTTTATCATAGCAAAAACTCTTATTTTCAATTTTTTTTATATTAATTGTGATCTAATTTCATTATTTCTCTATTTAACCTAATAGAATTTATAATTCATTAAATTATAATATAATTGTTAATAGTGCTCGTTAAGCAGAACATTTTTCTAACTTTAAACAATGTTGCTATGTCTGCCCAGTTGTGATTTTATATAAATTATAATCAAATGTAATATTACAAATTTAAATATATTATGAAAAATTTATATATTATATTTGTTATATTATTTCAATTTTTTACTTAAACTTATAGCCTAATAAAAATGGTAAAATTAAAAGTTTGAAAACGTCAAAATTAAGTAATTGCATTGAAATTAGAAACAAATAATAGCATGGCATTAATAACTGATGCAAATAAAACATATTGCTTATTGCTAGCATACATGTATGAACACACAGTTTTGTATTGATCACAACAATCGAAAACATACAAAAGAATACATTCCTGTATGCCACAAAAATTTACTCACCGACAGTCAAAAGAGTACTCACTCTCCGTATTTCACATATGTTTTTTCATAATTTCGAAAGTTGGCAATACTTGCATAAACACTTTGATGTTGATTGTGGTGATTGTGCGGAAAAACATCATTTTTGTTTTGTTGTTTCGTTTAATGTTCCTTTATTGTAAATTCTTAAAAATATTTTTGTTAAATTTTATTCGTGGATTTACATGACAAATTTGTCATGTAACAGCAAAAGCGGTGACACAAAAGTGGAGTACGAATTTATTGCAATTTAAGGTAAACAACAATTAATAAATTCAATAAAAAAAATTAAATAAATGATTTGAAAACATTCAAAATTTCTAACTGTGAAATAAACAAACTAATATAACAAAAAGTGAAGTAGATTTTTTATTTAGGATTGAAAAATGTAAAGTTTTTGGAGCACTAGCGCTACTCAGACTAGGGTGTTCAATTTTTAAAGGCAAGGTCAATGGTCCAATAAATACTATAAATATTGAATGTGCGTGTTTTTGTGCGCGGGTGTAAAATGTGTGCTTATTTAATATTATGACGCTGTTAACGGTGTTTAATGTTTTGTAAATTATCAAACCGAATTCTTGAAAGACATGTGCTTCAACGCGATTAATCGCTTCAATGCTGCAGTTTGAATAAGTAATAATTGTATTTATTTAAATTATAACAAATATTTAATCATTTGTTAAGTAAAACTTTTGTTTTAAGAATTTATTGGAATTGTGCATAAACAAGCAGCACGTTTTAGTATGCAAACAAAAAACAAAACAGTAACTAATCAGCTTTAAAACTAGAAAATTTGATAAAATATTTAGGCAAAGCCAAACATAAGTCAACCATTTTATTTTCAACAAATTTAAACAAAGTGCTTGGTGTTTACATAAACTAATGCTTAATTTTGTATATGTGTATGTGTTCTTTTAATTGTTTTTGTTGTGTTTTTTATTTTATATTAATCAAAGGAGGTCACTAGCAAATTTTTTTTGTTACTTCACTTGAGTGTAGCATACAATTTGATTTAATTACATTTGTATTTATTTATTTGATACTCAACAGATGATAGCCCTTGAAGCGTTTTGTTGTTTTCTTTCTTTTTTCGTAGTAAAAACAAAAGCATTAAAAATAAAAATGTTTTTGTACAACAACAATTTAATTAAAACCAAATAACACTGGATTTCATCATCAGCACACATTTTAAGTTGAAAAATATATGTGTAAGCATACGCAGCACTCTCCTGTAGTTGCCCTTCTTCCCACTATGGTACCCATTTCTTTATTCTGTTATTCTTTTGTGGTGATTTGATGCTTTTGTTTAAGTTACAACAACAAAAAAGTAAATTGCCAATTTTTTCATTTTCATGGAAGTGATTTGTTTTTGTTTATTGTAATTGTTATTGTTATTGTTACTAGCAGGATTTATTGTTCTTTGTTTAGGGTGGCATAAACAAATGGAGCCCACCCGTACCATTTAAAATATTTGCCTGCACAAAAACGAAAAAAGAAAATTGAATTAAAAATTAATTTAAAAATAATATAATTACAGGAAATTAATTTTTATTATTGTCAATAAGTTCCAGGAATGATTGTTTATGACAATAAGAGCACAAATAAAATATTAAAATTTAGGTTAAAATGGTTAGTCACCCCAATGTGTAGTGCACAGAAAAAAAAAATAACTCACTGACGACAAAAGCCGCCCATTTAAATAAAAATGAAAGAATAATAAAAACAAAAAAATAATAAAAATGAACGAATTATAAAACAAAAGAATTTTCACCAAAATTTTAAAGAAGTTTTAATTATTGTACTTAAATTGTACTAAAAAGCATAATTTTTAAACAAGTAACATTTTTATGTTGAATATAATACGAATATATTGAGATATGATAATAGCAGTAATTTTTTCTTTCAGAGTAGGAAAAAAATACTCGCAACTTACGAAAGAAGACATGTGAAGCAACAACAATGCTTTTAAAACCTTCAGAGTCAAGTTTTACTCCCAAAAAATTTTAAGTCTTAAAATCAGTGCATTTAAATTCAAAAATCAGTCTATTGTGGACGTTCACTTGAAATACGCTGGAAAGTTCCAGTCATTATGAACAGAAATAATAACAACAATATATCAAAACAATAAGACTATTGTTCATTTTGATTTCTTTTATTTAAATTAATTAATTTTTAGTGTTTACAATTTTTATATTTCATGTTGTATACAAAACAGCAAAAAACATATTTAATTTAAAAAAAAGCATTTAACATATTTTAAAATTGTTGGCAATTTGTTTTAACCAGACTTAATGCTGTTTTTTTTACTAGTCTGAAGGAAAAAATTACGGCTAATAATGCATGCATATTGTAATGACAAGCCTGAGAAGAGAAATGTTGCTAAAACTATATTGTTTTTAAGTTTAAAGAAATTTTAATTTTTGATTAGGTGAATTGTATTAACTTGATAATAGCTAACATTATTTACCTTGTGTAGCAACATAACAAAAGCTTCCTCAATTTCATATATGCAAAAAGCGATTTGAATATTATCTTAATTTTGCTATATCTTATAAAACCTCAAAAATGACAGAAAATTTTTCTATCTAAATTTTTATAGTCATGAGAATGGGGTTTGTAATGTGAATCATTGATTTTTTCTGCTTATATAATTTATGACTAGTTTAGATAGCAACCCCTATTTCTTGTGATATTCTACAATTTCTTTATGAAATGACACACATATGATATAAATATCTATTAACAGCTGGATAATGCAGAAGCTCTCAATAAACCTTTTGACTTATTTTTACCTTCGTCAAAATTACATAATATAACCAGGTAAATAAAGAAGTTATCAAAAATAATGTATTTCGTTGCATATTGTTTTTTCATACTGCATGACACTGCAATTATATAACAATTTAGAATCCTAAGTCATACTTAATTTAGAAGAAAGGTGGATTTATAATTAATTTCTGTTAGCAGTAAATAAATTCTTACCTGTTCATACGAGTAAACGTTATCTTTTAGCTTATACACATGCCGCGAAGTAATCTTCATTAACTGTTAATCCGGATTGCGTTGTGCAATCCGGATGCGTTATTTTTAAACCGACGTACGAAAGTTCATTTCAGAAAAGCAGTTCGTTTTCTTATTTATGCTCATTTGCGATTAGGCAGCACTCTTGAAATTTTTACTGTTTTCACGTCTTCAACACTAATTCTTCCTATGAGATTATACTCATATTCTTCCTTATTCGCATATTTCTTTTTTAAATTCCTAATTGCCAGTACAAAAAAATTTGCAGTGTATACAAAAAATCATATTTTTCTGGAAAAATAAAGTTTCACACAAAAATTGGCGAAACTGCAAAAACCCATTGTTATTTTTAACACTACAGTTTTAGTGTGATCCACAAAGTTTCTTAAGTATTGCATCTAAAGCCTCGTGAAAATGTCATTGGAAACCGCAATGAGTAATCCCAGCGTCATCCACAATTTTACATTGTTGTATGCTTTCCGTAACTAAATGTGGTTTTCATGTACGCGAAGCATTAGTTCTGAAATCAGACGATTCAGTAACCTAGTTATTTATGATATAAAAATTATGTAGAACTTAAAAACGGAACTCATTTTAAATAGTTTTTTATGTAAATGTACAATCCATAATATTCTAAGTTTGATTATAATTAGACACATTCCAGAAAACAAAAAACGTTATTTAATGTCCTTTCAAGATTTCTAATTTGTTTAATATCTAACAAAAAATATTTCTTCAGTTAATCATTAACGAGGGACTATCTCATATTTTTAAAAAATATTTTCATTTGAAAGCAACTACTTTTCCATATGTATCTCTTCTTTCAATATGTTAAGATAAAAAACTGCTTATGTTAATAAATGATTCTTAGATTCAAAAAGTTTTATTTAACCGACACTACTATAGTTTTTTTTTATTAAGTGCATCAGTTAATGTGCAAAATATTCACAAATCCATATTTTAAGTTGCTTTAAAAATGGGGTAGAGTCAAGCACCGGAGAGCACAGTCTAACTATTTATTTAAAAAAAATGATTGCTATTATTGATTTTGTGATCTAATATCATACTCTATTTTTTTTTTATACAATATACTTTTCTTTGTTTCTGTCTTCAAATGGTGCTTTAATCTACACTCAATAAATTTTTCAGTTTTATTTCAGATGTGAAGTATATTTTTCTCATGTTTAGTAGTTGGCAATAGGATTTATATGCGTTTCCACTGTAGTTGGGAATGTTACGCTATCGAAACCCTAATGAACGCTCTAGGGTTAGAGATTCTACTCCAACAAAATAGTTATTTTCAAAACAAATGACTACTGAGACCAAAATATATGGAAAATTATTCTACATGATAGGCAGAGAAATGGTAGAGAAATGCTAAAACGTACATATATTGATAAATACGTCAACTTTTTATAAAAAAAAAACATTGATTTGAGCAGTTAATCTCAGGATTCTCAATTTGACTTATTTCTACTCTGTTATTTTTATATTAAACATTAATAAACAAATTTGCAGTATTATTTTTTATTAAACAACTTACCCACATAAGATATATATATATATATAGTAAATGATAAAGTCACATACACATTTTAATTATAATTCTTATTTTCTTTAATTTAAATTTTATATAAATATAGTAGCATAGTAAACATATGAATGTTACATTTTTAATATGAAATATATTGCTCAAGAAAATAAACACAATCTACCATTTTTGAAACTTTTAAGTTTTTAGATTATATCTGTTTTATTAATAAGCACAGGTTTCGGAAGCTGCAAAAAGTTTTCAATATAAGGATTTTTTTATAAGAAGCTGTAAAGTTTTTCTGCTGAATATATAAGTATTTATATATTGTTAGAGATGAAATATTATAATTGTGTTCGTTTGTCTCTCTGTAACTACGTTTGATTTAATTAATTACTCAATTTTCAAACTATGGAAACAAAATTAATATATAGATCCATTACAAATGAACCTGATACACTTCTATCAATAAACGATATCGGTTGAATATATCTCATAGTAAAATAAACTGAGTTGATTTTACTGTTTAAAAAAAAATCTCAGTGAAGCTGGATATGAAAAGAGTTATGATTGATACGAATACAGCATTTGGTATATTATATATTTTCTAATATATTCGTTAATTTGTAATAATGGACAGTACCACCTAACTAAATTCCAGCTTTCAGATAATGTAAATAATTTTTTGTGAGTCTTTTTATCT